CTTTTACTGAATATTATATTTAAAATTATATACTCTAGGAATTTTTATGAATGGGTGCCACTAAGTACTTTTTTCATTAAAGGAGACAACCCCATCAATATTACTCAACATTTAACAAACATCTCTTCTCCTAACCCTAATATTTACCTACAAGATGATGATTCTCCATCACGATCATGAGGATAACGACGACGAGGACGAGGACGAGGACGACCCGAGGAATTCTTATAGGGTTCCAAGTGTGGATGCCAAAACAACGAGGGCTTGCCATAGATATGGTTAAAGAAGTCATAAAACTTCAAACCCAAAACATAAGAAGCATAAGCATCAATGCATGCATATTTAATTTGTGCAAAACTCAGCTCCTTGGCATCCCATTGACTCAAGGTTATATGCTTTGGTTTCTCCATGTATGTATCAGTGAAGAAAAGCATCAAACTCTTTAACCCTTGTCTCTTCATCTCCCTTTCTCTAAATTTCTTCGCCGCCATCTTCGCGACATCCATCGTACGTGAAACCCTCAACCCCCAATCCTCGAACAGCTTGTCCCGGTCCTGCCCGACGCCGACCCCGCAGAATGTCCACGGCGTGTTGGCGAGGAGGTGGAAGAGGGAGAGAGGAATGGCATCAGCATGGAAGAATTGGAAAACAAGGCAGCGGCAATCCACGCAGAGTTGGAGGATCGCGACGGGTTGGTGCCCGCCGGGGTCGGGATTTTGGCGCCATTCGGTGTCGAGGTGACGACAAGCTTGTGGATTTTTCGACTGTGGAGTCGGTAGGTTTCCGAGATCCATTCGTCGACGGCGGTGGAGGAAGAAGTTACGGTGGTTGTGATGACAATGCCGTGGAAGTACACTTTGTGAACAACAGCTGAAGAAACAGCTTCTGACATGGTTTTTCCGGTTATTTGGTGGGCGGAGGATGCTGGTGGGGTTTTTAAAGAGTGAGAAGTTAAAAGGAAAAAGGAAAAGGAAAAGGAAACCAAAGAGGGATTTATTCTTTAAAGAAAATTCTTCTCCTAATTCAAGTGGGTATTACAATTAATGCTTCTTGGGAGATGATTCTTATTTAGATATTTGTACTTCAAGTTTAGGTTTTTCTACTGCTGCCAACAAAATTAATTAGTATATTTCTTTATTCTTAAATAATTAAACAATAATATATAATATAAATTTGTTAAACAAAAATGTCATTTGGCTTGTTGGTTTAATCTCATACTTATTTCCGAGTCTCAGCTTATTGCGTACATTGTATGCAGTTTTAGTGAAAGTTACATATATCATATGCGATTTCTAGTTAAGTTAAATAAAATCTATGATAGAATTTGTTAAGAAAAAAAAATATTATTTGGTGTATTAGTTTAATTTTCTCCCTCAGTTGTTCCTGTGTCTCAGCTTAGTGTCCTTAGGGCGTTTTTTTTTTTTTTTTCTTTTCTAAATATATATTTTATTGTTATTTTTCTATTTTTCATTTTTAAATATATTTTTATTCATTTTTTTATATATATTTTTGGTTAAAAAATACATTTGGTTCATATGCTTTCACTAAAATAACAATTTAGTCCTTGAACTTGTAATGACTTAGTTCTTGTACTTTTTCTAATCTAACAATTTAGTCCCTAAACTTTAACATGTAATGATTTAGTCTCTGTAGTTTAAAATTTGTAACAATTTAGTCCCTATCGTAAAAAATTTTATTAAAATTAAGTATCAAATTTTATCATATAACAATTTAATCTTCTAATTCATAAAGATATTTGGCCCCTTTTTAGTTTATAAATCTATACATACAAGAACTTAACAAAAAAAATTTACGATAAGGACTAAATTATTACCAACTTTAAATTACAAAGACTAGATTGTTACATATTAAAGTATCAAATTTTATCATATAACGATTTAATCTTTCTAATTCATAAAGATATTTGGTCCCTTTTTAGTTTATCAATCTATACATACAAGAACTTAACAAAAAAAAATTACGATAAGGACTAAATCGTTACCAACTTTAAATTATAAAGACTAAATTGTTAAAGTTTAAGAACTAAATTGTTACCAATTTGAAAATACAGGAACTAAATCATTAAAAACTAAAGTTTAGGGACTAAATTGTTACTTTAGCGAAATTGAGGGACTAAAAGTGTTTTTTAACCTAAATTAGAGGGACTTAAAAAATGTTTTTTAACCTATAGTTTTATTGCTGGAGAATAAAATTACTTTAAAAAATTATAATTAAAATTGAAATATTGTTATAATAGAGCACCCCAAGTCAGAGTCTAACGAAGGCACTCTGCCACTACACCGAGTTTTGATATTAATTGAGGAGGAAATATATCGTCCCTAACGAAGTTGAAACCAGTAGCCGTTTTAATTGGAATGGTTTCTAACCTATGTAATTTAAACTATTTATTAGAAAAAAAAATATATAAATAATTAAATTTTTCTGTAAGCTAAAAAGTTTCTAATTAAAATTTTCCGTAAGATAATCTTTAAATTTAAAACAAGACAATCCAAAGTTTATTACAGGCAAACGAAGAAACAGTTCAATTGACGATCTTATTTACGCAAAATTTGAGAAAATCTTCTAAAGAGAAGAGAAATAATAATTGGACTTGGAAATCGGAGGGGTGCGCCAGGCCCAAGCAGTAGTGCAAGGCATGGGCGACGCTCGAAGGCCCAGGTAGCAAGCTATCTTAGTGGCCCTCCCCCTAGAAAAATAAATTTAATATCATGTGGGCCGATGGCCCACGTATCAGATATTAAACTGATAAGAACAGATACTACACTTGATCTTAGCCAAAAGGCCGAGAAAGGTATGCTTTCATTATCAATCTCACCGCCCTTTTATACTCAGCGTCCGCTCCTGCTTTTCGGACTTAGCCGATGTGGGACGAACTGATCTCAGCTTCCACTGTCCCTCCTCTTCCTTTGCTGCAAATTTCAGTTTCAATTTATCTTATTCCTTTTCTTTTTTTTTTTAATATAATTTATCTGATTCTTTATTTGTCTTATTAATAGTTATTAGGGGAAAATACGTGATAGTAATTGTTTTTATAAGGTAGAATAGAGTAATAATTTTGCTAGAGACTTAACCAGACATTGATGCTTGAACACTGATGCTTACGATAAAATTTTAGATATTTTGGATTTTATTGATTGTAGGAGAATAATTTTATGATTGTGAATATTGATTCTTAATCAAAACTAAAGGCAGTTCTTGAATTCAAGAAATTTTAACAGACTAGAACATCAATATAATGACTTTATAATTTATTTTATCAATATTTTCATCCATCTTTGTATATAATTGAGATCTCAACCCATTTTTGACATTGCAATCCCCATCGAGGGAGATATTTGTTATGGGCAAAGAGGAGAGAGATCGATAGATGTACAGGCCATAATTTCATTCAAATTTATCATTTTACTATATTAATATTATTTTTTAAAAATAATGACCATAATATTTATGATGAAAAGTTCATAAAATACTAAAAAGTAAGGGCATAATTGGTTCAATTCAACTTAGTTTGGGGGTGGAAACTGAAATTATACCTACAATTTTTAAAAATAATTAAAACTTAGTTGAACCGCCTGATTAATAGAAACCACACCAATCGAATCAACTATGTTGGCAGTTTAACCATTTAAATGATCAAATGCCACTGTCACGCAGGTTCAAAACGGTTTGTGCAAGTTCGAGTCGGATCGTGCGAGTTTGAGTCATTCCCTCATTAGATTGGTTCGGCAGCCTCTTGTTTCTATTTTTCTTTCTTTCTTTGTCCATCAATCGAATAACTAGGCTGGATTTTTTCCATAATCCTAACTTAGGAGAAGAGGCGTCAGGAGGAGATGACGAGATTTCCATATTCGTATTTCTGGAGATTTTAGGATTTCACGGATCGATCGATCGAGGAAGGAGACAAGGAGATTTCATTGATTTGAAGATAAATAGACAGAGGTAGTGATTGATATCAAGAGAGACAATGATTTATATCGGACCATTTCTACAACCTCAGAAGCTAAAATCATACACTGATAAGAGAGAATTAAACAAAATAAAGGGAGGGAAGGACATCATATTATAACAGCAGATACAGATTTCTCACCACTATGAGTTCTTTTTATCTTTCCTTCAAATTATAGGCGTTATCTGTCCCAACCAGACGGTCTCCGCCTTTCTCGAGGCCTATCGCTAGAACTGCAATCAGATTGTATGGGCACAAATGAGGAAGATATTGATAAAGTAAAAAACAGGTTCAAAAACAAACAGAAAGGGGGAACGATTTAACAACCTTTCTGAGTTCTTTTGGCTTGAATATTCTCCGGCATTTGGGGCGTACGAGTTCACTCTTGACGCTGGAGGTGTCGGGCTGTTCGAACCCCCACCAATCGAGCCACCCGATACGAAGCCTGCTAATGTTGGCCTTCTGTTTGCTGGCACGCTGTAACTGTTATTCGAACCCTGACTTGGAGGGGTAGATGAAGCAGCAACGAAACTGCTCTTAAATTGTGCGATCATTCCTGTCCTCAAGGAATTTACCGCTGCAGATCGACTTTGAACATTGTTTGTTGAAGGTGTACTACTGCTTTCTGGGTTGTAACCAATTCCCATACCGAAATCCACCCCACGCACGCCTCGACCATTGCCGCCTCTCCCTTTACCCTTCTTCCCACCTCCACCACCACCGCCTACAAAGACAATACAATGTATCATATAAATATATAATTGGTAAACTTTATTAATATATTGATAATTCACAGTTTGGAAGAGGAATCATAGTCAGATGTTGAACCATACCTCCTTTTTTTCTTGCATCACGCTTGGACCTGAAGCGCCCATCCTATAATGATATGAAAGGTAAAAAAATTGTTCAGCTTTCTCAAACAGCTAAACCTTATATAAGCAGGGGGGAAAAAGGTGGGAGAAGGCTTGATGAAAGAACAAGAACAACAAACAAGGCCATTAAGAAACCAAACACACAAGCCAAAGAACAAGAAAGCTCCCAAAAACATACAAGAGGAGGACCCAATTGTTTGTTTTTAATATCTATGAGTGTTTGAAAGAATTCTCCCACCTTATGACTAATCTCACGAGACGATTGCCAAACCCTACTACATTTTATTGCCAATAAAAATCATATGATTAAAATATCTAAGGTAGGTGTCCATCATGGTTTGAACCTATCCCATCCTCCAAGTCCTTTACTTTATTCACTAGCAACCCACCATGGTAGAAGGAGCCCCGATCGAAAACGATAGAATATTACAAAAAAATTCGGCCGCAAAAGCCCACAGAGAAGCATTTCCGATCACAGAATAAAACAAGAGTAAGCAGGAATCTTCTGTTACATTAATTAATCAGATGGTTCTTTATCATGTTCAGATACAAAGCCATCACTACTGAATGCCATCAGTGATACATATTAAAATTCATAGCTGAGTACACTATTTATCTCCCAAAGAAGGCTTGTTCACATTTATTTTCAATACTGACATACCAAAATATTCTCAAAACAGTTCTGAAGTTAATAATAGGTGAGAAGTGAATGTCATAATTCATGTAAAAAGTTAGAAGACAAACTGATTACAAATTCCAAACAAATTGAAAAAAAGAAAGGTAACTCATAAGTCATAAGCAAAATTTTAGCTTACTATAAATTTAATAATATGCATAACAAAAAATTACCTTCATTGCCAGATCCATCAGCTCCGTTGAAACATTCTGGCCAGCAGCAATCAAACTATTAACTAATTCACCAGCAAATCGAGCCTCTTTCTGGGTTATAAGGGTGTGTGCTTTCCCATCCTTGTCACCCGCACGACCTGTTCTACCAATACGATGGACATGCATATCCATGTCTTTTGCAGTATCAAAGTTCACCACGGACTTTATCGACTTAATGTCAAGCCCACGGGCAGCAACATCAGTTGCAATAAGAACGTGATAAACACCAGATTTAAATTTTTGCAGAGTTTCCATTCGAGATGCCTGGTCTTTGTCACCATGAAGAGCTGCAACCTTGAAACCTTTCTGCACCAGTTGAGATTCAATCTCATCCACAGTGGCTTTTTTAGATGCAAACACCAAGACATCACCATCATCGATCATTTCAGGTAACTTCTCAAGAAGCCAAGGCAACTTCTCCAAATCAGAAGGAAGTACATGAACAACCTGTGTGATATCCTCGTTGGCCATCCCAATCTCTCCTACTGTAACTCTTACAGGATCAGTGAGGATTTCTCGAGCTAACTTTTCAACCTTTCGGGGCATAGTTGCAGAAAAGAGTAAGGTCTGACGGTCTGGCCTAATCTGACCAACAATGGAACGAATTTGGGGTTCAAATCCAAGGTCAAACATTCTATCGGCTTCATCAAGTACCAAGTATGTGGCTTTTGACATTGTCACAGCTTTCATTTTAATCATATCTATCAGTCTGCCAGGAGTGGCAACAACTATCTCACACCCAGCTTTGAGTTCTTTAAGCTGGTCGAATTTAGACATCCCACCATATACTGCAGAGACACGTAGCCCATGTGCTTTTGAAAATTTTTTACACTCTAGGTATATTTGGTGTGCAAGTTCTCTGGTGGGTGCACAGATCACTCCAATAGGACCCTCTTCTTTTTCAAGTTCAGGTTGATCCATAATATGAACAATCATCGGAAGAACAAAAGCAGCAGTCTTACCAGAGCCAGTTTTTGCTATTCCAATGATATCTCTCCCGGAAAGCACAATTGGCATAGCTTGGCACTGTATAGAAGTAGGCTTCTCATACCCTTGCTTTTTTATAGCATTCATAAGTTGCGGGGAAAGTCCAGAGTCTTCAAATGTTTTAATTGGCCTGGGAACGTCAAAACCAGACACGCGAATGGCCAAACTCTTTCGGTACTCAGAAACTTCCTCCTCGCTCATCCCTAAAGATGAAATATAGAAACGGAAACACTTGTCAAATTTAGAACCAGAATCAATCATTTTAATTCTCCAAACGCTCAGCAACTTTTTATCCTAGGAAATCGCAGGTAAGCAGAAGTCATCAGACATAAAACAACAACATAAAAATGGTAAGTACCAAATTTAATCATATAAATCCATACGTTTCATTGGAAACGTGGATCTCTTTTATTAGGGAAGAATGTTTCACCCAGTTTATTGTTGTGATTGAACTGGAAAAGCCAAAAACCAAAGGGTTAAAAATTAATTAAAATGAGTGAAATTAAAAAATCTTAGCAAATCTTTCACTCTTTCTCGTGAGGAAAAAAAACGTCCCAACAAAATCATAATCTCCATACAGCATACAATTCCCCAAAAGAAATATCAACTTTGATCCAATTTTAATTCAATTTTTCAAAAAAAAAAAGTTAAAAGAAGAAAAATTCATAGCCATAGTGCACAAATTTATCAAAGGCAGTCACAAAATCCAAAGAGAAAAATAGGAAAAAGTACGAAAGCAATATTGAAAATGTAACCAAGTTCAAGACCAAAACAAAACAGTAACTTCCAACTAAAAGATGACCTGATATTGAAGCTCTCTCCTCGTAAAAATCTTTACAGAACGGCTCGTAGTCAATGGAACTGTGATCTAGAGCAGGAATTGGTTCGATTTTTTTCTTCTCCAGGATCATCAAGTTATCATCCGAGTCATACTCGACCATCCCTGCGTCCACTGCCTTTGCTGCCGCATAAACCTCCTCATCCGAATCATAACCAGCATTAAGCGCGTCAGCTGCCAGCGTTAGTCCCACGTCCTTCTTGGCTCTCAGAAAGCTCTCCATTGGGTCATCTTCTTCGTCGTCCCTGTACTTATCTACCTTCTCCTTTGGTTTCTCTGGCGGCGGCGCTTTCATCTCTTCGTGAATTCCCTCCATAAAGGCATCTAAAGGGTCAATTTCATCACCGGCATCACCACCGCCACCGTCGCCATTCCCACTCGCCTCCTCCGCATCATTATCGTCATATTCTATATTATCAACGTCAGTATCTTCGTAGTTGTCGTGTCCATGGCCGCGCGACGAGGGAGGGACGTAAAGCCGCTGTGGAGCTTGGGAGCGCTCGAAATTGTAAGTCGTTTGCCGGTTGATTCCAAAGCCTTCGAAGCCAAACTTCCTCTTCGACATGCTTAATCGTTTCGTCGATGGTTCTAAATTCTAACCAACCAAAAAGAACCCTAAATGGGTATGAGAAATCGAAGCGTTTCACAGACCCTCAATCTAAGATTTGAGAACAATCAGCTGACCTAGGGTTTAGGGAATCGGAACGGCGGCTCGACGGAGAGGAAGAGGATTTGTTCTTTCTAGTCCGAAGACAATCGACGGCGAACGAGGTTAGATTTGGGCGAATTTGTGATCGTGGGTCGGACGGGTTGACCCGAACTTGGATCCGGTAAACTCGATAAGCAACCCGAATCCTTGAAAGTGACTTTGCGTTTTGGGTCGTAACCCGACATGATTCCAAAGAGGCTATGGTTTATGGCCCATGAATATTAAATAAAGCTTCTTTTTTTTTTCCATTTATGGTGGGTTTGATAAATGTTTTTGTTTTTTCCGAAATTTTGGTAATACTAGTATCATGTTATATTTTAAGCGATTAGTAATTGATAGGCTATTTAGAGACTATAATCCAAAAATCTAAGTCGGTAAACATTAGACCATTTGTGAAAATAAGTTTCCAAAATAGTTTATCTAATACATTATCTCTATATTTTAAGTTTTTCAATCCAATCTAGTTATATGAAATTCAAAAATATGCTCAATGAGTAGTGTATACAAAATGTTGGGCTTTTTTTTACTAACTACTATATATACACACACTGTTATATTCAAAATAACATGAAATTCATAATACATATGAAGTCAAGTTAAAGAAAAAATATAAGCTAGACAATCAATCTCCAAATTGTCGACTTCTTTAGACTTTACAAAATTCAAATAAAAATTATATATAAAAATAATAAATTATATGGAAGGAAGATGACAGTTTGAAGTTTTAATATGTTGTCGTTATTGAAAATATATCTATATATATTACACCATCTTTTGTAGTTTTAATCTAATTTTGTTTCTTAAATTCTTATAATTAAAATATTATATATATAAAAGTTTATAATTAAAAATTTTGGATGTAAGAATGTGAAGAGAGGTTAATCCATAAGTTTTTATATTTATTTTATTTTTCAATTGAAATATTTAATATTACTTATGTAGATGTGTGAAGTTGACTTGATATTTACGATAAATTTTATTAAAGAAAGAAACATAAATTATTTATGTAATTAAGATGATTGTGTATATCAAGTTAAAAGAAGAAACATTATTATTACTTATCAATAAAGAAATAACACTTAACAGGTAACCAACAAATGTTTTATGAACAAAATAAATAAATAAAGGGATGAAGTTTTTAACTATATATAGATTAATGTTTTGTATTTGTTTTCTCTTTATACTAAATAAAAATATAGAAAGTTGTATGATCCTAATACTCATTGATTCAATAATGATAACATAATATTTTTATTTATGTTTTATAATAAATTAGAAGTGGTAGTCAGATACAATAAATTTTGTTTTGTTGTTTCCAAAATTTCTATATAATTTTTAAAATGATTTTAAGAAATGAAAAATAACAAACATAAACAGTTGTCAAATGTTTTAAATTTCTTAATAAAATTGAAAACAATGAGCGGTAATGTGAGCAATATATTTATAATAAGCCCTCTTATTTTTTGATGGACCACTTCTTTATTCTTAATTTTCGCCATGTAGATGTTATATATTCAAAACAGGGATAGAATCAATTTCGATGATATACTAATTTCAAATTTGAGAATCAGTTTTATTTTATTCATCTCAATTACTACAATTTCGTTTATATTTTTTATTTTATGAGCCTATATCTTTTTCAAAAAGGAAAAAACTTCACTCCTTTAAGTGTTCTTTACCCTTAAGTGATCCCATAACAAGAGAACAAGTGTTGGTTAGTTACTTTTTTTTTATTATTATTTTTTAATTCATAATCTCGTCAAATCTCTTTTATATATATTTTTTAAATTGGTTGGAGGATTCTTCTTTCTTTTTTCTCTCTCCCTGTAACTTCCTAACCTCTTTTTTTTTCTCTTCTTCATCTCCATTCTACTTTTTAACTTAAAATAAATCTCCACAAATATTTATCCACGATCTGAACGTGTACACATATATATTACGTTTTATTTTTTATAGTTTTAAATGATTGTCGAGAAGTTGCGTAAATTGGGTAATATGATGTTTTTTCCTCACCTATTGTTGCAGCCTTATTTTTTTTTCCCAACTTTTGCTTTCGGATGATCATGATCAGTATTGCATCAAGTTGAGAAGAAAGTAGAAGAAGATGAGAGAGAAAAAAAAGAAGTGAGAAGTGGTAGGAAGAGAGAAAAAAGGGAGAATAATCGTCTAACTAATTTTAAAAAAAAAATCTGAGAAAGAAATTTGGGGAGATTTTGATGACATAGCCACCATTTGTCTTCTTATTATAGGGCCAGGTGAAGGTAAGGAGCGAAGTTTTTTCCTTTCAAAAATTACTATTTATCAGTAGTGTCATGGTTAATTAATCTATAGGAAAAAATATCTTCCTATTTTGTCCGTTTAATCTAAATATTTTCATAGTTATTTTGGAGGTAATTTTATCTTTCAAATATAAAATTTTCTCTCTGATTATTTCTTTCTTTTTCTCACACTCCACTTTCTCCCATTTCTTTTTTTTTCTCTTAATTCCACTTTATTTTTTTTATTTAATCATCTCAAATGTTGGAAGGTGAAGAGTTTAGAATATTTATAGTGTTGTCTCTTTATTTCTATGAACTAATTTAAAAATTATAAATTATTTTTGTTATAATTAATAAGGAATTTCTAACTATTTATCTTCTACAACTATATAAAAAGCTTTTTGTTACCCTTCTCCCCAACTTTTTTTTCACCAAAACTTGAGCTTTATCTTTCGATATGTTTTTCTCATTTAGTCAATGTCTTGTGTTTTCTTATATTTTAGTTAGATTGTTTGATCTAATGTTTCACTTTTAGTTTTTTTTTTCAATACAATGTTAATAATAACCTAATTACCTACAATAATATATAAGTAATTTATTCAAAGCTTGCAAAATGATCTAATTGCATTTTTTTTCTTCTATGTCATTCTTTTATTCGATGATTCAAAGATGAAAAATTCATGAATATTTATTTTTTTAGAATTTTTTTTAAGTAATCGAGGAATATGTATTAAGTTGTTTATTCTTGCTTGTTGTATATTACTTATAGGAAATTTTCAAGTAATCGACACATCTCACATTTTTTTAGTCACATCAACCAAATCAGTGAGTAATAAGAATTATTGAGATGTCGATTTTATGGGATAAACATGAAAAATACAAAAAACTTGGTGAGGTAAACCTTAAGATATAATAGAGCTCAACTATATTAAAAAAAATTTAACTATTTAATTAATTTTTATGTTTTTATACTTTAAAATAAAACTATGAAATTTTCCATGCAAGTGTTTGATATTAGTATCTACAAAATTGTAAAAAAAGAAAAAAAAATCTATTATTATTAAATATTATAACAATAAAACTTAATAATATTCTATATTCATGATAGTTGAAAATTATATCAATCTTTTAGTTTTGATGTAATTTTACTTTACTTATTTATTAACGTTAATATTAAATAAATTTGTAAAATAAAAATAATTATAATAAATAAAATAGTAATAAAATAAACTAAAATTTATTACTATTATAATTAAAAATAATATTACCACTTTAATATTTGTAATTAACTAGAAAAAAGAAAAGACATTCTAATAATTAGTTGAACGGTATTTGGAGGTTTCTAATTTTAATTCTAGAAAATCTTTAAATAAATCTTTCGTCTCAATCTCCTCAATAAAAGAAAAGAAAATAAAAATTTTTTAAGAGTATTTAAATAAATTTTCCTTCTTTTTTTTTTTTCGGTTTTCAAACGTCGCTCGTTTTCTTTTCAAGTTTTCGTTAAATAATCTGTTGATTTTGTAGACAAATTTAATAGAATACGACAATCTTTCACCCGTAAGATAATATATTAATTTAAATCTTAATTTCGCACGTTTAAATTTCTGAACTTTATGTAAATAAATACTTTTTATATTTGTCGTTGAATTCTATATTCTACATATATAGAAATCTTATGCGGTGGCATCACCTGGACCTCATTTCAAGTTGATTGCATTCAATCTAATTTTATATTTGAAAATGAGTTGATTAAACTCTCTGTTGTAATAAATAAATTTATTAATAACAACTAAGAATAAATTACTTTATAAGAAAACTAAGAATATATTTGATTAAATTATGAATTTGAGCTCATATTTTATATGGTTTTTTTAATACAACATGTTGAGGAGGATTAATTGTAGACACCGTATTTGGTCCGACTCGCTTTCGTTTTAAAAAAAAAAATTATTACTGATTTATTTATTATTATTTTGTTTTATGTTTATTGGTTTAGTTTAAAATAACATAATTTACTTTATTATAAAATTTTTTGTAAAGTTTTAATTAAATCAAATTAAGTTTTAAAATTAGATTTTATTTGAAAATAATTGTTTTTTTTTAAATTGATTTTAAGATTAAAAAAAACAGTTTTTCTCCCCTTTGATTTTTTCCTTCGTACATGTATCCCCTCCCTTTCTTCTCCTCCCTCTTTTTCTCTCGCCCCTTTTTCTTTTTTATCGTTATTTTTAGGTGCATTTAAGGAGGGCTGCAGTGGGGGAGGAGAGGAGACAGAACACTCATTCTTCCTTCTTTCTCTCTACCATCACCTTCTCTTCTTCTTCACCCGGGCCGGCGACCTCGACGATACACAGACCGCACACGTCCCTCGGTGATCACAAGTTCAGACAACCTGCACCTCGGT